CCCTGCTGTAACCAATGTAAAAAATCTTAATACAAAAAACTTTTATAGTCCATCTTCAAAATTCACCAGTGTCCTCTAATATTTATTATTCCCATTTTAAATCTTTGATAAAGAGGTTTAAGGGACTTCATCATCAGTCTAATTTATTTAATCTTAGAGATATTCCCCCTTGCAACAGATTACACTGCCTAATCCCTATTTTAATCCCCAATCTCTTGTTCATTTTTCTGTACTCCCTCTTATAAAACGCTCTTGCCAAAACTAGGCCTTAATCAGCTTCCCCATTCCTGGCTGAACTATTACACAATCTATATTTATCTTTCAAAGCTCAACCCCCTGAATTTCAATAGGATTAAATAATAGACTCTGACTTCCAAAGTTTAAAAAAATGTGGAAGTTATCTAGTCCAGTTCCCCAAACAGATGCTTAAATGCCCTCATTTCAAGTCAATTTATTTTTATTTTTTAAAAAGGAGACAGGGTCTCCCTCTGTTGCCCAGGCTGGAGTGCAGTGGCAAGATTATAGCTCACTGCAACCTCAAACTCCTGGGTTCAAGCAATCCTCCTGCCTCAGACTCCCAAGCAGCTACAACTACAACTATACCACACCCACCTAAATTTTGTTTTTCATTTTTTTTTTTTTTTGGTAGAGATGAGGTCTCGCTATCTCTCTCAGGCTGGTCTCAAACTCCTGGCCCCAAGGGATCCTCCCACCTTGGCCTCCCAAAGTGCTGGGACTACAGGTATGAGCCACTGCACTAGTCTTAAACCAGTTTCAAATGTAAGGATATAGTAAATGTATAGTCAATGTAACCACAATCTTGCACTTACATTATATACACTTATACATATATCTGTACACACACAACACACCTTCCCATAATCATTATTCACATAAAAACTCTCAAAATTCAATACCACATAACTTTAAAACCAAAAATAGATTTTTATGGCATGTTTACCTGCCTTTATAAACAGAGCACACAGAACAAAACTGAACACAACAGCATGCTTATGCTGGAAAACAGCTGAGTTTAGAAATTACCAAATTCATAGTCTTGGTAGATTTTAAATTCACCAAAAATTTTTGTATTCCTGTACTCTTTCAATAAAACATCCTTCTTTTCCTTAATCGTTAACACCTGCAACTCTACCAACAACAGATTCATCTGGGTTAACAACTAATCTGCTTTTTAAAAAGAAATAATGTAAGTGTAGTTTTTCAATTTAAAAATTTAACTTAAAAAATAGCATCTGACTCATCCATACTTTAGTGAATTGGTTTCTTCAAACTGTTTTCCTCCCAAAACACACCATCAAACAAATGACAATGAGACACTGGCAAGAGGGGACAAGGGTATGCAGGAAAACTTTTAAACGAGCGTTTTGGGGTAAGCAGGTCCAATTGGGGCCCCTAAATGAGAGGTTCTAGGCCAATCAAGCAGCAGAAGGGCAGAGAAGAAATAAGAAGAGTGATCTAGGAATACCCTGGAAAAGGAGATCATAGAAACAAAAAAGATTCCTTTGAAATTTTGCTTGTTTACTCTAACTTACTCTTAACACTTAATTATAAATCTTCACTCTTTATCTTCCCATTAGTATCTCTTTTTTCCCCTTCTAATGTCTTTTAAAAAGCATGGCTTGTCCACTAGCAGGAAAAGTTAACAGTTTAAAAGTCCACTAAGCAGGAAAAAGCAAAAACAGTTTCAAGTGAAGAAAACAGTATCCAGTGATTCTATATTCTATTTATAAGTAAATATATAAAACAAGTTTAACTTCATTTAAAGTAGATAACCACCAACTTTTGGTATAGAAAGACCTTGGAGAACATAATTTTTCACCTAAAGAGAAATACCAAACAGTTCATTAAGATCCTTGCCCATGCTCCTGAAACCCACTCAAAAGTAAGGCAGCAAAAGCAGCACTTATGTTTTAGAGTCAGACAGATATGGGTTCAAGTTCCATCACTAACTAGCTATGCAATTTCTCACTGTTTCAATGTCTTTATCTATGAGACAAAGACTTTACAGGGTTTATTTAAAATTAAATAGATAATATGCATGAAGTACCAACTCCCATCTTAGTCAAGGCCATTTCTACTACTGGTTCATTAAAGCATCTAGCTTTTCAATCTTATGAGAAATAGATAAGAAGAAAGTAGACTTTAAGAGAAACAGCACCACCTACTTATTTATTTATTTACTTACTCCCTCCCTCCCTCCCTCCTGGGCTCAAGTGATCCTCCTGATTCCACTTCCCGAATAGCTTGGACTACAGGTGTACACCACCATGGCCAGCTATATTTTCTATTTTTTGTAGAGACAGCTCTTGCTCAGGCTGGCCTCAAGCAATCCTCCTGCCTAGACCTCCCAAAGTGCTAGGACTATGGGCGTGAGCCACCATGCCCAGCCCACTTCTCCATTTTTCTAAGAAAGATCATGGTACCTCTTACAAGAAAGGCAATTACTGCACGTAAAAAAAACCTACTGCTGGCCGGGCGCCGTGGCTCACGCCTGTAATCCTAGCACTCTGGGAGGCTGAGACGGGCGGATTGTTTGAGCTCCGGAGTTCGAGACCAGCCTGAGCAAGAGCGAGACCCCGTCTCTACTAAAAATAGAAAGAAATTGGCCAAACAACTAAAAATAGAAAAAATTAGCCGGGCATGGTGGCGTGTGCCTGTAGTCCCAGCTACCTGGGAGGCTGAGGCAAGGAGGATCGCTTGAGCCCAGGAGTTTGAGGTTGCTGTGAGCTAGGCTGATGCCATGGCACTCTAGCCAAGGCAAGAGAGTGAGACTGTCTCAAAAAAACCTACTGCTTTTATTTCAGCAGATCAGGATACTAACATTCCTTAACTGGCTGGGCCAAGTTCGTAACACAGGGTTTATCTCTGAATTAAGGAAGTACAGAGCATTGCAAATGAGGGCATATTATTTGGGCTAAAAGGAGTATTTGTGAGGAAAACAGAAACTAAAAACAGAATACTTATGAATATAAACTATGGGCATAGTTTTGAAAGAACTGAGCTGAAGAGAAAGGGAATAAAATTCAACAGATTTGATTAAGTACATCAAAAGATAGGAATTTGCTGCAATTTTATATCTTTGTCCTATTTGGTATTTCTTGTTGATTGAGCAATATTAGTTTATGTATCTAAACAGCTAATGTTATTTATTACAATTATTTTCTGCTTTGATCAAAAGCTATCACTCCTCATACAGCCACTTGTGTTGAGATTCACAGTTTTGAAGTAGTTGGTTGATCCATTAATTTTACCAATTCCTGGCATTTTCTAACTCAGAAAAGTAACTTCATTATGGTAAATCTTAGGAGATCATTAAATGACTTTGGATAAGTTATCTTCCCTCAAGCCTCAAAAATAAAGAATAAAACAGGGAGGCCAGCAAGTAGGATTTGACCACAAGAGGCTTTGTCGTTTTTGGGCCTGAGACTATAACCCCTCCCCCATTCCTAAGATGCTGAGCAACCAACCCAATGGCTCAAGCAAAGGGGGACTTGGAAGTGGGGTGGATGCTGCAAGCACCTGGTCCAGGAAGCCTGTCTGTCCCCACAGGCTGAAGACTCCCTCTTCTCCATCCACAGAGGTATCAGGCAGCCCAGCTTGTGAAAACTCTCTCCACACCCTCAGACAGAAGCAGGAGAGATCAATGGGGCCTCTGGGTAGCAGATAAAACAAGCAGATCAAAATACCACTACAAAGGCCCTGAATATTAAACTGTCACTGGAACCACAACCCACCAACAGAGTGGCACCTGCTTGGTAAACCTAAGTAAGCATGGTGACTGCCTACTTATATAAAAGGCTTAAATTTAATAGGACCCAACATCTCTTAACATAATAGCCAAAATATCCAGACAAGATTCAATAGAAAATCACCTGTGATACCAAGAACCAGGAAAATCACAACCCGAATGAGAAAAGACATCAACTTATGCCAACACTGTTAAAATTTTCAGACAGAGATTGTGAAGCAGCTATCATAAAAATGCTTCAAAAAGCACTTATAAATTCTCTTGAAACAAATGAAATATAGAAAATATAAGCAAAGAAACAGAAGTTATGAAAAGAATCAAATATAAAAATGAAAAATATTTTAATAAGAAACTTAAAAACTTACCAGATGAGATTGATGGTAGGGTGGAGATGACAAAGGATAGAATCAGTGAACTTGAGGACAGATCAATAAAATTTACCCAATGTGAACAAAGAGAAAATAACTGAAAAGATAATTAACAGAAACTCAGGGAATTGTTGGATAATAACAAAAGATTCAACATTCATATCATCAGAGTTCCAGAAGAAAGAAAGAAAGAGAGTAGAGTAGAAAGAGTATTCAAAGAATTAAGAGTTGAAAACTTCTTATTTGGTTAAAGAAATAAACCTACAGATTCAAAAAACTGAGTGAACCTAAATAAGAGAAATCTAAATAAGCTCACACTAGTATGTATCATAATTAAACTTCTGAAAACCAAGTCCAAAGACTTAGACTTCTTTTTTTTTTTTTTTTTTTACTATTTCTAGACCTTTATTTCTCTGTGAAAAGGGGAAAAAAAAAAAAGGAATAAAATAAAAACGACACAGATGACACAAAAAAAAAAACCCACGGAGAGGGGAGAAAGGGAGGTGGAGAAGTAGATGGGGGAGGGCATCCCCATTACAGCAGCAGGAACCAATGACCTGGGATGCTCACATCTCTCCCCAATGTGGGCTGAGTGGCTCCAGGGTCACCATCCTGTGCCACCTCATGCTCCCCCAGCCCCAGGGAGGTGGTCAGGTCAGTGAGCAGTCTTCCCAGGCTGGGAAGAGGAGGAACCGTGCAGGGGGAAGGGGCCTGGGGTCAGATCGTGCACAAGGAGAGATAGCCAAAGGTCCCCAATGCCTCCCCGAGGGAGGACTTGGGGGCAGTTGGAGAGTGGACACCAGATGCTCCTCTTTCAGCATCAAGTGAGAGACAGAAATGTCAGCGCCTCCTGGGCAAAGTACTTGACATCCACATCCTGGTCCTGGGTCAGCTTCTCTAGGACAGGCTTGACTTCACTCTGCAGGTTGCTGTTGTCCAGGATGGGCCCAATCTTCTGCAGGGACTTGGCCACATTGAAGCTGACATTGGCAACAGGGTCTCCAGCCATGCGCAGGACCGTGGGCAGCATGTGCTTGGTGGTGATGTCCTGCCCACAGACTTCAGACAGCATGTTGATGCAGAAGAGTGTAGTCACGCAGTGCAAGTAGTTGGGGTCTCCAGACATGGCCAAGACTTTGCGGAGGATGGTGGCATGGGCCCACTCCTTCCCAAACTTCTCCACCAGTTTCTTCAGGTTGTTGGTGGCCGCCTCACGGATGGCATAGACATGATCCACCAGCCAGGCCACGCACAAGGAGTTGAGTTTCTCATCAAAGAACTCCATGCCCAGCTGTCCAGCCAGCAGAGGCATGTACTCTACGATGGCCAGCTGCACCCTCCACTTAAGAGTCCTCAGCCAGCTCCATGATGGTGGCGAGCAGGGACTGGGACAGCTGCTGGATGCCAATCACCCCACTCACGCAGTCCAGGTTGGAGATAATGTTCAGTTGCACCTCAGGGCACTCATCCTTCAGCTGAGCCAGGAAGAGGGGCAAGAGGTGCTCGATGGTGTTATCCTTGCCCAAGATGGGACAGAGGCCCATAATGACTGAGGCCAGGGCTGACTTGACATGCTGGTGAGCATACAACACCAGCTCCTTGATGCAGGGCAAGATCTGGGTCATGATCACATTCTCCCGACAGTCAGCTGACAGGTTTTCACAGAACTCTTTGACCTTGTGGGAGGTTGCGGCCCTCACCTCGGCCTCACAGTCCTTCCTTCATCAGGTTCTGGAAGGCAGGGACCAGGTCTGCCTTGGTGACCTCAGGCCCCACTGCTTTCTGGAGCTCTGTGAACTTGTCAGCCACCATGTAACGGACGTGCCAGGAATCGTCTTTAGCAGCCTGGCACAGGGTGGGCACCATCAAGGCCTCCAGATCCTCCTGGGGCAGGAGCTGGGCGATGTTCACGCATGCCTCCACCACCAGCAGCTGCACCGAGTCAGAGGCTAGGTTGGAGAACATAGGGATGATCTCACTCTTGACACTGTCCAGCTCCAGCACCTTGGCGAATTCCCCCAGGTTGGAGGCTGCGGCCTGCCGCGCCACGGGAGTGTCATCTGAGCACAGATTCCGGAAATACTGTCAAAGTTCCACCTTGACAGCACTGGATACCCTGGGGTAGCAGACGGAGAAGAGACCACAGGCTGAGGTGCAGGAGGTGAACCAGTCACCACCCGCTAGACGCTTCACCAGTGGTACAAAATGGGCCTCCAGGTCAGAGGGCGAGTTCTCATGTGAGATGGCCCCCAAGGACTCCACTGCCTTATCGTGTACCACCATCTCCAGCGACTCCAGGGGTGGCAGCAGGCAGCGCACATACTCTGGGCTTCCAACCAGAGTAGTGAAGGTTCCCAGCTGTTCTGCCAGGGCCAAGCAGTCAGAGACAGTCAGAGACAAACATATTACCTATAGGAAAATACTAATTCAAATGACAGCAGATTTCTCATCTAAAGCCACAGAGGCCAGAGGAAGTGGCGTAATATTTTACAGGTGTTGAATGAAAAGAAATGCAATTGTGAAATGTGATCTACTCTTAAAGAGTGACTAAAGGAAGTTCTTCAATAGAAAGAAAATGAAGGAAATGATAAGGAATCTTCGAACATTAGAAAAGAAGAAAGAGCAGGAACAGGTACATACGATAGACTATACTCACGAATTTTAGAAATCATTATGTGAGGATTGGAAGAAAAATGATAATACCATCTGATACTCAAAAATCTAAATGGAAGCAAGGTTTCCACACTTCACTTAAAGTGGTAAAATGATGACACCAGAAGACTGTGATAAATCATATTTGTATATCGCAATATGAAAAGACATACAAAGAAATATACTACTATAAATAAATCAAGATGGAATCCTAAAACATGACCCCTGGGGAAGGCAATAAAAGAGAAACAGAGGAACAAGAATTAGAAGAAACAAACTGAAAACAAACAATAAAATAGCAAACTTAAACTCACCTACCAAATTACCTTAAATGTAAATGGTATAAATACACAAATTAAAAGGCAAGGATTGGCAGAGTGGGTTAAAAAAAAGAGAAAACCTAAACTATATTCAGTTTACAAGAAATTCCTTTCAATTTCAAAGAAACTAGATCACTCACATATTGCTGGTGGGAATGTAAAATGATATACTCTACAAAATAGTTTGGAAGTTTCTTTAAAATTAAACATGTACTTACCACACAATCCAAGAATAGTACTTTCTGCACATTTATCCCAGAGAATCGAAAATGTATGCCCATAAAAGAACATGTACACAAATGTTTATGAAGGTTTATTTATAACAGCCCCAAACTGCAAACAATCCAGATATCCTTCAGTGAGTGAATGGTTAAAGACTACTGTGGTATGTCCCTGTCATAGAATACTGCTCAGCAACTAAAAGGAACAAACTGACACAACAACTTGGAGGAATATCCACAGTCTTACACTGAGTGGAAAAAAAGCCAATCCCAAATGGTTGCAAACCAGATGATGCCATTCATATACATTCTTGAAATGACAAAAATTATAGAAATATAGGACAGATTAGTATTGGGGGGAACAAAAGGAGGTACCAGGGAAGTAGATGTGGCTATAAAAGGGGAACACAAGGGATATTCCTGTTGAAACTGTTGTGTATCTTGATTGTGGTGGTGGATACATGAATCTACATATGGTAAAACTGAACAGAACCACATCCACATCCACACACACACACACACACACACACACACACACACACACACACAACTGGGTACCAGTAAAACTGGGTGGACTGTATCAAGAGTAATACTCTGATTGTGATACTGTTCTATAGTTTTGCAAAATGTTATTATTAGGAATATTTGCATAAAGGGTTATTTCTTACAAGTGCTTATGATTTATGTTTTTCTGTTGTACTCTAATTTTTTACAATGAGCAACGTAGTGGGTATCTATTGTTTTTGCCTAGCCGATATCCATTACCTCTTCCTCTGGAAAGAATGCTCAATTTTGCTTCAGGGAACTATGTCCTATACCACACTGGTAAGAGTCTTGGTAGTACTGTCCATCAAGATGTCTCACCATCCCTAGGCACTGTGCCAACTAGGTTCACTCTTCCCTAAATTTTAACCTTGAGCAGAGTTGACAAAGATTAATTCATCCCAGCTGGAGTGCTTTGATGAGACTGTGTATTAGTTCTAGCTACCTGATCTCTGCAGCTGCCTTTCTTCTCTTAATTTCAGAGCCTATTTCTTTCCTTTAAGCCTGTGAGATACCCCCACATTCTTCAAATAAATCTCATTTTGCTTAAGTTATTTACATTTAGTTCCCATTATTTGCACCTCAAGAACCCAATTGAATATATGCACCCTTCAAACAAATCTAACACAAAAAATGTACCCGGTTTTAAATTTTTAATTATAATTTTCACTCTGTAAGACCTTAATTAAGCTTTCATCCATAAACTGTTGCTCAAAAATGAATAGATTCTTACAAACGAACTTAATGGAGTGTACAAATTTAACTGGAGTTAAAAGATTAAGTTCTAATTATAAGCCAAACATGCTATGTCCAAGTGACATGAAAATACATGGATATGGCTCCTGCTCTCAAGTCTCACAGGCAAGTCAGAGAACTGTACTAAATAACCATAATATGACATGGGAACTGCTATGACCCAAGTGTATCTAAAATGCTATGCCAACATACAAAAAGCCAATTCAGTAAAGAATAAACTATGAATTTTAACCCATTCTGGCTGGGTTTTAAATAAGTATCATTCTCATAGAGGACTTACCAATATTTTCTCTAAGTCAGAGCATAAACATACATTTTCAGTCTTATAAAGTAAATACTAACATACACATTTCCAATCTCTTAAATATTTTCACTATTAATCTGCAGAATATTAAGCATCCCAATGCTAATGTAAGCCAAATGATGAATTTAATAAACCTTAATGTAGACTGGGTTTCTAAAATTAAGACCAAACAATGATTACAAACTATATGAACATAAAAAGCACACTTAATGAATAACCATTCATATAATAATATCACTTTTAGTTTCTGAACTAATTATCTAGTTTTATAAAGTAAAAATCATGCATCCAAAGGTAAGATTAATAAAATTCATAAAAGAGTGCTTTATAATTGCATAATACTTCTTTAGAATAAAGTAATACTTCTTACCTTCTGGAGTTGGAATGCACCCCAAGAAAAAGAAAGGGAGAAAAAAAAAAGCTTTTAATTTTTCTTTACAAAGCAACAATAAAGCCAAAAAGTAAACTGACCCTTCCCCTCCCAGCAATATCCACAATTCCTCAAATTAGTAACCCCCTTTTGCTACATAAAACATTAATTTCTTCTTTGAAATTGATGTTAGCCCCAAATAGCATATCAAAATATGTCTAAAATGCACAATTAAATTCAGCTAAGTAGTCTAAACCACTTCAGAAAACAGCTGCAGTACATTAACCATGTGATAGAGTAAAATCATTAGGGCAGTTTAGAGTTAAAATGGATACAATGAGCATTTCCCATTCTTTAATATCCTTCCCATGCATTTCAATTTCAAAGACCCATCATAAAGCCATCAGCTATGGACCCTAAGGTTTATTAGCATCCCTTTGATCCATAATGGAACTCACTATGAATCTGAATAACAATGGGAAGAATACTCTTTTCTGCATTTTGTTTCTGTTTTTTCATTATTAATTTTTTTCTGACATCCCTACCAGGTTTGCAGGCTTGAAAGCAGACTGAAACTAGCAGATAAAGAAAACGCAGGCTTAACCACAAAGGTAACAGCTAACCTTAAATAAGGTATCAATTTAATAAATAATTTTCTTCACTCCAAAACTGAGCTCTTACTGATGAAATCACTTCAAGGCAATTCAGCTTGGCAAATAACCAAATTATCTACCCTGCAGGAGTAACGATTTCTGCTGAAAAGTAGTAGAGGATGTTGATTTTATTTCCCTTGCTATATATAATACTTTTATACAAGAAGAGGTAGGGGAAAATTAAGTGCTCTGATTAGTTTTTGGTATGAGGTAAGCTAAAACATATAACCTTAAGTACCATGTAAGAGAAATTATTTTCTTCATAATAAAAATATTAGTACTAATCAGATGTGATTGGGACTCCCCCAAACAAGAGGTAAAATTTCAATCTGGAAAATGTTTATAGAGTATGATCTTTCCTAGATGGTTCCCAGAGTTCTTTATAAATCCCAACCCTAAAGGAGCTTGCTACTTTGCTTGGGAGAGAAGACTGACATGAAAGAAAAACTCCTTGCTAGATAACAATGTTGAGCTCTGCAAAACAGTACATAAAAAACCTATTTAAATGTTCACTTTTTTAAAAATGTACTGACCCTTTTAGAAGCCACATTATTATAATCGTTGGGGTTTTTACTTCAATTTCTTCCAGAAAGCAATCTGTAATTAGACAACAACCAACCTAATATTGCTAAATGTCAGCATAAGTTTATTTGAGAAATAATAGTGCAAATACACTAATCATAAGGGTATGGAGAACTATAGATGTAAAAGCAGAATGATATACTGAAAAAAAACAAAAACCAAGGTTTCTAGTTTCACTGAGCTGGTTGTATGACCTTGGCCAAGGCTCAATCTCCATGGGCCTTAATCCTTTAATAATAAACTGCCATGTAACTGTAATATCTTTTCCAGCTGTAACACTATGATTGAAATAATGTGATTAATATGGAAAAGGAGTGGAAGAGGGAGAAGAGAGAGAGACAGGAATGCAACGAAGACTATTCATTTTGGAGTACTGTCAATCAGAGGCATCATGTTAGAATACAAGTAGATGAGCTTCATTGGCAAGGAATAGATGTCCAAGTCATCTGCTTGTCCCAAAATTTGCCAGTACTACTATATAGCTAGTACTCAGCCTTTCCCCTTTCCATGTCTTTTTCCATAAAGAACCAATGCTTTTAAACACTCTTTGACTTCTTTCGGAGGTGACAATAGCCTAATTTAGAAGCTAGGCAGTTGGCCATATTAATTCATTCGCTACATAACTTACCCATACCATTCCTACAGTGCAAAGATTCAAATTCATGTCTCACTAAAATTACTAATTATATACCACGACCCCTTGGGATCACTAATGAATGGTCTAATTCACAAAATGCTCAATTCATGTACGACAAATTCATGAACAAAGATCCTAATTTCTTTTTCCTTTTCTACTCATGAATGGAAAGACAAGAAAAACTAGTCAGAGAATAGGGTCTCTTGAACTGAATCCTATTTTTTTCTTCTTTCCTAAAAACTCTTTCTCTATTAGCTGACATAAGAGTCAAGATAATACAACCAATAAGATGAGCAAAGCAGGTTGAGAAAACTCCAACAGGAGAAAAAAGCACTAACGGCAATCACTACTTTAGAAGGAAGACTGGAAGT